ATAAAGGGACAGAAAGAAGGCAGGCTTGCTGCTGCTGTTTGCTGCTGCTTCTTGCTGCCTCCTGTCTGGCCTGCCATGGACTGTTTCTCCTCTGTGATTCCCTGTGCCATGCCACCCTGTCTTGGACCTAGCCAGTTATGGACTGAAATTTCTGCAAACTGTGAGCTGAAGTTGACTTGTGGGTGTCTGATATTTTGTCTCCATAATGAGAAAAGTAATGAAGACACTAGGAAACTCTTTTGTTCTAATATTTGGTCTTAGACCCTGGTTCCTTGCACAGAGGTCCTAAGCTCCTAAATCCCATGACATATTCTGAGTGATAGGAGGATCTCTTAGTTCAGGGTGGGTGCTGGTTGCTAAGGAAAATAATTTTGTGAATAAAAGTCGTAGTTTTTTGTCCCTTTCTCTGTTATCTAGGAAAAGAAGACCTAAAGGTTGAACTGACTCCCAATGCCAAAGGATGTATTAAATCACACCAATGTAAAAGAAGCCTCAATAAAAAAATTAATAGACATAAAGGACAGGATTAGAGAGTTTCCAGGTTGCTGAACATCAGGAGGTGCTGGCAGCATGGTGCACCTGAAGGATCTGGGAGCTCTGTCCCCTTCCCACATGGCTTCCTCTGTGCTTCACTTCCTACTGACTTCATCTACATCCTTTGTAATGCAGTTACAATACAGTGGACCCTCAAGTTACAAGTGACCTGACATATGAACAACTTGGGTTATGACCAGAATTTTAACTTATGGCTAAAGTCTTGAGTTATAGCCCAAATACTGGCCATTTGTGCTTCCAGACTTCACAGATATAATATATTTAACCCTTAAAGAGTTGTTGAAGGAACATTACAACATTCTTTTCTGTGTGGGGTTAACTGAGAAATCCTGGGCCAATGTCTCTCTAAGGACACTGAGATCTGCCTGGAAGAAAGTATGACCTAAAATTATATTGGAGACAGACTTTGAAGGCAACTAACCAACTTGAATTACAACCACCAATTGAGTACATAAGTCAAGGGTCCACTGTAAGCTAGCAAACATAAGCAAAATGTTTCCCTAAGCCTTCAAGCCATCATACTAAAGAAATCAAAGCTTTGGAGGGTGTGTGGGACTTCAGTTTATATAGGTGACAATATACACTCAGTCCTGTGGATACACCCTTTAACCTACGGGGTCTGACACTATCAAGTGTCAGAATTGAATTGAATTGAATGGAACTGAATTGAATTGAATTATCGGAAAACCAGCTGCTGTCTGCAGGAGAGAATTCTCCACATGTATTTGTGACCAGATGAAGCAATGTGATCTGTGTGTAAGAGCAGGAAAAAAAAGTTCTTTGTTTTTCTTTCTTTTTACACATACATATACACATGGACACGTACAGACACACAAACATTTACATCAGATTATTTTTAGAGTTCATTATATTCCCTGACATCAGCATTATAAAAAATGTCATCTGGAAATTTTCTTTTACTATGCTAGATTTTTAATCTAGTGTTTTATTTCTAAGAGAATTTGTACAAATTAAATAAGAGTCTTTTACAACGTTTTTATCACAGAAAAATCTATTTTTACTTTTTACACAAAGTTTTTATACTCATTGCATTCTCCTTTTCTTTTGATCTGTGTCCTGTTTTTTCTTGCTGTGAATCAAGTCTACGTTATTTACCTAGAAAGATTATAGATAATATTCAGTTTTTTGTGTTTTGATTAGGTACTTAAAATGAAAGATTACACAATTATTATCATAAAACGGAATGAGTTCTTTTCAAGTTATTACTCTTGAAAAATTTTTTATAATAGTAACAAACTATATGAAATCCAGACAAAGATCATATTATTTGAAAAAGGAAAACTATAGTGACTTTATCCATATGTCAAAAAAAAAGAACTGCAAATAGGAAGACTAGTACATCTTTTATAGTTTCACTTGTCCATACTTGTAGTACTCTTTGCATTCTCTTGATTTGTCCCTTGTCATGGAACCATCTGATGTCAATGATGTATGGATACCTCAATGAGAAATTATTCTAAGAATACTGAATGAATTAACAAAATCTAGAAAATTTCAATCCTCCAGGCCTCATTCAACAACTTCATAAATTAAAGTAATTTCAAAGTATGCCTACAAGTTAATAATCTTTTCTAAAATATGTCACTTAGAAAATGTACCACCATCTATGCTGTTTTGCAAGCCAGAAATCTTAATGTCCTCATTTCTTTCACCATTTTCTATAAAAGTCTAGTACCAAATCTTGACAACCTAATTTCCTAGAACTCACACTTATCCAACAGTCTGGTGAGACCATCATTAGTCTCATACTCAGAGCTAGATTTTTCTAACTGGTAGTATGACACTGAAGTCCTACTGGATGTACTCACATACAGTCTTGGTAGTTTTCACACTGTTTCTCACAGTGCCAGGACTATTACTTGTCTTTATTTTACAAGTGCAGAAAAACAGCTAGAGAGATGTGAAGATCCCACCTAGGATCACATAGCAGCTAAGTGGTGAAGCAGGGATTTAGACGGAGTCATTTTAACTTTAGTGTTCATGTTCTTTATCCATACATGATGTTAGCACCTCTCAATGAACAAAGTGCCTTGTGCTTTAAAACTCTTGTGTAATTTCCAAATTGTTCCTAAGAACTAGTCTTCAAACAATGCCTGAAATGTTCTACTCTCCCACCTCATGTTACACTTTTCATGATTTGTATGTTTTCTTCACATTATTTTTAAGAAAAACGTCTATCAAAAAACTGTTAATTCCTTTGCAGGGTGCAGTTCTCTGTTAATAACATTTGTCACAGATGAAACTCTACATATTTTGGGGATTTTTTTGTTAATTTGTGTTTATCCATTATAGGATAAATAAAAAATTATCTCATGTGTTTTATAGTATGGAATACATATAATACTGAAAAAAATATTTGAAATAAATACAAGAAGATAAAAGAGAAGAAAAGAAGTAAGGATTTTCTCACAGTTTAAAAGCTTTGTAAGGATTATTTTAGAGCAATCTTGTTTCCAGATAAAACGTCCTTTTCATACCATTTGTCTTGTGTCATTGTTCTTTCTTTATTTGAACAGATCTACTGATTAGCTCAAGATCAATAAAAATTGGCTCCATTTCTGGGCAACATTGACTAATTATAGATGTTGCCAATCTGTGAAATCAAGTTCCAAGATCCCCAGTGAATACCTGACTATATAATACCAAGCCATACATACACTGGGTTTTGACTATGCATATATACCTATAATAAAGTTTAATTTATAAAATTAGGTATAGTAAAAGATTCATAACAACTAATAATAAAAACAATTACAGTATACCCCTGTGAAATCGTGGTTCAGAGTTCGCAGGCTTAGTTGATGGCGGAATTTTCCTTAGAACCTAATTAATAATTGTTGGTGGAAACACCCACAGATTCAGAGAAGCTGCATATATCCTCAGCAATTGTTTCTTTCGGTGGCAGGTTTGCAAGTAGCCAGTCTGAGAGCATTATTCAGTTCTCCCTACTACCGACTGGCTGCTGCTCTGTAACTAATCTCCAGCAGGTGCATCAGCATTCCTGCATCTAACACCTTACTTACTATACCTCATGTAGCTAGGAGTATTCTTTGTTTTGTTCTTGAAGCCCTAAGATCTCTAAGATGCTGCCAAAATGCCCTGCACCTTCTACGGCTTTATTATTAATACAAAATTTATTAAATTAAATTATATAACTATGGGAGACATAACATATTTAGGGTTTAAACTATAAAATAGATATTTATAGGCATTTTTCTGACCATATCTGAAATTTGCAGTTTTTCACAATTCACAGGTGCTCCAGGAACCTAATCCCTGCAAATTTCAGGGGTTCACTGTATGACAATATAGCATAATAAAAGTTATGCGAATGTGATATCTCGCAAAGCATCTTACTGTGCCAGGCATACTCGCCCTTCTCATAACGATGATACAAATGATTCAAACCCTACAGAATGAGATGAACGGTAGTGAAGTTACCTCTGTGACATAAACAGTGTATGTCAGCTACATAGGATCACTTGAACACAGGGGCTGGGACACTGTGAAGGCGGCTCTGATAATTCAGATGGCTACTGAGCAGCTTAAGGGAGGGTTGGGTGTACAACTCAGACGTGCTGGGTAAGGGGGTGATGCATGTCCCATGTGGGACTGAGCAGGGTAGAGGAAATTTCTTTTAAAAATTAAGTATTGTGTATTTACAGAATATTCAATTTAATATTTTCAGACTATGGTTGACAGTAGGTAACTGAAAAGGTATAAAGTAAAACTATGGATAAGTGGGGAACAACTATATTAGAAAATCTGTCTGAATCTATTGCTAAAATAGGATTCCTTAAAATTTTACCCATGAGTTCTACTCTTCAGTTTTGGTCTTCCTGAAATGTTTTTATATGACATTTTAAAAAACTTAATGTTATTGTGTTTCCCACCATGTATTCTTTTTTCCAAGCCTACTGATATCTAATAAATTACATTTTATGACAGAGTTTTATATGATATAATTTTCATACTTATATTTATGTGCCTCAAGATATTTTTTTAAATATTTATTTTCTGAATGCAAATTAATTTGATTACTTGCCTTCCATTAGCATTTCAAAGCTATATTAAAATGTGAAGATTAGTTCTCATTTACCTCCAAATTAGTTTTGGTGGGAAAATAGATAATATTGTGCATTATTTTTCTGAGAATTCACAATGCAAGAGGACATACATTTTCGAAGATCTTTGTAGTAATCTACTGGACTTTCTCTAACCTCTTAATCCTAAGAGTATATTTTGGAGGAAAATAGATCAAACTTTATAGGCTTTTTGAGAACACTATTTGGAAAATATATATAAAGGCATGAATTAATCTCTTTGAAATATTTATTGTTAATAGTACATGTATTACAAAACTAGAAAGTTAAAGTATACTTTATTACATAATGACGTATGGGGTTACTTTTTTTTAACTCACGAGAAGCAGATATGTCAAATAAAAATATAATATTTTTCCTGTGTTTACAGGAAGAATAAGGGAAAGGATGATAGAGGAAAGCATGTTTGTATATATTCATACTAGAAAAATAAAAAATAATTGTTAGTGTGATACTTTTTGTTATTACATGTTCCTAAATGAAACTCGGGAGTAATTTTCTCAAAACATATATTTATTGATTTGTTTGAAAGCCTTTACGGTTTTTATTTATAAAATCCAAAGATCATAGGCAAAATAAGAATTGAATAATTTGCAATTCAAAGTGTTAAAACATGGTGATTCTGTGAGAAATGCTTTACAAAAAATGTAAAATTTAGAACTTCTTTAATTGCTAGAAAGCATGGTGTTCTATATCTAAGAGAAACAGGCATAAAATTAATTGTGGATTCATTCTGCTTTGTCATTCAGTATTAAAGGACTAGAAATGTCCTTTTGTGAAGTATTTGACTCATTTAATACCCATTCTTGAGTTAAATGCCAAACTTGTATGTCCAAAATCCATTCAGCAATTTGCATGTGTTTCATCATAATCACAATAAAGAAAATTTTCATTTGCTTCCAATCTTGGTACATTTTCTTTAATTCCTGAAATTATACTGTAAATATAGCACCAGTATAATTAATTTTAAACATACACAAAAATGCACTTCTTGTTGTTTCACAATATAAATGTATTCCTTAATATTAATAATCTGTAAAAGAAACAAAAATAACTATCTTTGAGTTGATAAACTATCTTAACTCTGTGTCTGATTTATTAATCGAGAAGCAAATTAATACAAACTGCAGTGTATGCCACTGGCAGAAATGCAGAAGCATCTTTATATGGAAAAAAATAAGCTGCACACGTGAAAATGGTGGCCAAGAGCAGCTGGACATTTTAGCTCATTTAAAAGCTAATTCTGGATTTGGTAAAGATGCCCTTAAATAATGACAGCCTGAAGAAGCTTGAAGCATGTCATTAAATCCATTGGGATTGGTGGTTTGATTTCATTTCCATCCAGACGGAGGTAGCTCAGTTGAGGTCCATGAATGAAAAAATCTTGTTCTGCATGCAGTGTGGGAGGTGTAGGACATATCAAAGAGACATTCACACCTATGGAGTCAAAGACAGCATAAGTGATTAATTGGGACACAGAAAGAATAGAAGCTGAAGACCATGGAATTACTGCAGTAGTCCTAAAGGAGGATATAGTGGCATGAAGAATAAAACTGATAAATACTTTTTTGTATGGTAAGTGATTATCCACACCTATTTTTTAAAGATTACCAGCTAAAACCGTGCAACATATGTGTAGTCATGTCACTCTAATGTCTGCTATATTTATTACAGGACACTATAAAGAAAATATTGTTAAGAGTTGTACTGTGGACAAAGTTATATGAGCTATATTACCTTTGTTTAAGCTCACTGGTGAGAAAAAAACATCTTTAAATTGCTAAAGGATGAGACAGAGATGGAGACAACTGTTCAGACCTAGTACTGAAAGACTGGGTAGGTATAAGTTTGAATGGATGGTTAGATGGAAGGATGGATAAAGGAGGGGATAAATCCAATATAAGCTAAAATGCTTGAAAAGTGCCTCGCAAGATGCACAATATTCTAGGATGACAAGTTTTAAAAAGCGTAATTAACATAAGTTTACATCTATAATACTTTTAGAACACGACCTTCAATCTCTGTGCATACTTGTATATAATTAGGAAGGAAATATTTGCCAAGAATTGAATTACTAAGAATTGAAGCCAGGAAATATCCCATCAACCCTTTCGCAGGTACAAGATGGGAAAAACTGTGCACCTGCCTTGGACCAGAGCCCTTGGCATCAACGCCTATACTGAGATTTAGGGGTGGTTTCCAGCGAGATGACTTGTTGAACTAGAAAACTTCAGAGAAGTGTAGAGCAGCTGATTCCAGTCATGTATCCATATACTGTATTGCCTTTATATTCCTTTCTGAAGCTGTTTTGAGCAAGATCTTTCTTAGTTAGACTCACCTAACTTGGGCGATGCCTCTCCTATCTGTCCTTTTAGTACATATATATTCATTTTTGAATAATTTTATGCTTATAGCAAGGTTGCTTTGTTTGAACCTTATGCCATTTTGTGAATTTAACTTAATAAAAAACTCACAGATAGCAATGTTGTGGTTTTAAAGATTTTTCTCATGCATTTTCATTTTATAATTACATAAACTTTATCAGGCAATATTTATTATTCCTCCCACCTGGGTATTGTAGGAACAGAAGGCTCAGCCTACTCTTTTTCCTGCTACATGGTCTCCATTGCCTAGGGAGAGAATCGTCCCTTTCAGTCTGTCGTTCATATACTTACCACCCTCTCACTCAAAACTGACATATGTCTGAATAAGTAGAGTATGAGAAACAAGTACACTAAATGTAATTATTTTTCATGAGTTAATTATGGCTTCTCAGAGAATGCCAGGAAGTAAGTTATTAGAATAGATAAAAAATATAACACAAATTTAAGGTCCTTAAAATATTCAGAAGAAATGACTATTTTAATCAGATGACATAAAAATTAACTGATAAATTCTGAAGACTCTTCAAATAAAATATGTCTATTAGTAACTATTTTAATTTTAATTTTATTGATTATGTGGCAAGAAGAGCTAAGTACTTTACCAGTAATTATAACACAGTGTGATATAATTATAAGCCAATAATTACAGCCAGGGAAATTTTATTTTACATTTACTTCCTTGGAATATAGAAATAACCGCATTTTATATCTATATTAAGAAACAAATGACTGAATTTATTTTTATTAATATTGTTGCTTTTCTGCTTTTAGAAATTCTTTTTAGATTCATATCCTCAATGGAATTGGGTGAAAGGTATGGTTATTAGATAAGTAGAAATTTTAGTTCTCTTAAAATGAGAAGCTCTAATCTCGGGTTCTGGCAATTGTAGTCATTCTTAGTCCTTCAGCAACTATCCTCTCCTAGTTGAGCTTTAGTTTTTTCTTTGTGGAAATTTCTAATGCTATTATACAAGGTCCTTGCAAGAACAAATGGTTCTCAAGTCATGAACCTAGAGTGTTAATACTCCTAGAAATTAAAAAAGTTAGGCCTCTGTCCAGACCTACTGAGTTAAAGAAACTTGCAGTTGGACTGAACAACCTGTGTTTTATATACCCTCCAGGTGATTCTGATAAACACTAAGATAAGAGAAAATTAAAAAATAGAAATATCTGAGTAAATGCTTTGAAAGTCTCTCTAAAATATAATTGCAGGAAGGACAGAGTGCTCTATATCCCAACTATTCTTTGAATACAGCATCTCACTCCTAAACATGTGTATTCTCAAACTGTCTAGGTGGAATATTCAGTTCACAAATGTGGAATCACTGGAAGTTAACTTCCCACATGAGTTTTTTTGTAGGTCTTTACTGTCAGATGAGAAATGGGCCTGTAAAGGCACAGAGCACTCATCAGGAAAGAATTGTACGTGTACATAAGAATTGGCTATTGGTCATTGTACTACTTGGTGCAGCTAAACAGATTCTTCTATGAACAACTTTTTTTTCGGTTGCATCTTTTGCTTTTGACTACAGGATTAAACAATACATTTCTTCACCATGGGAAAATAACTACCATGGTGGCAGTCTGCCAGTTAGTTCCTGAATTTTATGCTCAACTATGCTATTATAAAAATCTTGAACAGTTGAGCAGAATCCAGTGGAAAAATAGTCTATATTTATAAATCACAAGTTTATATGATTATTTGGTTAAAGTAATCTTTGGTGCATTAAAACCAGGAAGCACAGCCTTCTGACAATTATCTGTGTACTTTCTTTAGGCCATTTTGACTAAATCTCACTTTAGGAATGTATTTTCTGAAGGTGCAGAGAAAACTCCCCAAGGTTATGTTCCTAAAGGCCTTGTACTAGGGTTGCAGATGCATAGGTGGAATCAGTGTCTGTGGTGTAGCAAGAAGTGTCCACTTGTACACCGGATCCAGCCTGACCCTGGACATAATTGTGAAGGGGTCAAGTTTCTTTCTGATGTATTTAGCTTATCATTTCTCTATGCTTCCCTACTTCCCCTCATGATAACTTTGCCTCCAAGAACTTTGTACTCATATTTCATTCTCAAATCAAAAGCTCTTTTCAGGAAAGCAGAGGGTATTCTAAAAGACGCAAGGAACTACAGTCTTCCAAGGACATTTCATTTCATTTCAATCAAGTAAAGTGCTAGTTCTCAACATGTGGTTTTCAGAAAAACAGTATGAGCCTCACCTGAGAACTTGTTGGAAACGAAAATTTTCAAAATAGCCACTCTGGGGTGGAGCCATAAACCTGTACACCGGAAAGTTTGAGAAACCCTTCTTAGAGGTGATTAATCAGAAACTCTAATTAGAGATGTTTTTGGCATGAAATGACCTATAACATTTGAGACACAGTTGCTTTGTAATGTCTCTTAAATCATATCACATTTACTCAAAATCATGAGGTGGTTGGGGCCCAGCACACTTTCTTATACTAATCCACCCACCATGGCAGAATGGCAGAATCTTCATGAGTCAAAGATGATAGAGAAATTAGTTTTCTTCTATAAATACTGGATCTCTGTAGATTACTAAGGTCCACTTTCAAACTTTAATTTCAAGGTTTGGACTTAGTTTATTAAGACTGTGAGTAGAAAAAATAATAATAATTATAAATGAAGGGCACATTAGTTGCAAGGACAATGCAACTGCCATTCTTAAAGAAGATATAGATAAATGTCATGAAAAAGGACATTTCATTCTAAGACGAACACTGATGGTTACTTACTTCGAATTTTGTTATGATCAAGGTGAAGATGCTGCAGGCGGGCACTGATTTGGGGAAACTTTGTGAGTTGATTGTGAGACAGTTGAAGATCTAGAATTGAGGACACATCAAAACCTCTTGATGGGAGGCCTGCATCTGATAATTTGTTGTGGTTTAGCCTCAGGAAGGCCACTTTAGGAATGACATTGAAATAATTTTCGGGTATTCCCTCAATGGAATTGTTATCCAGAAAGAGTTGCATTGTATTGGCTGGCAATCTTGGTGGCATGTTCCGTAGGGCATTTTTGGCCATATTTAGCTGCATGAGGTTCTTGAGTCCCTTAAAGGTGTCTCTTTGAAAGGCACTGTCCAATAGTTTATTGTGCTGTAGATCAAGAAGGGTCAGGTTTTCCAGATTGCTGAAGGTCCCTTGAGGAATTCTGGATACCTTGTTTCTGGCTAATTGTAGTTGCTCTAAACTTCTTGGCAGGGGGGAAGGTACTTCTTCTAGCTCATTGTCTTCCAGAAATAAGAAAAGCAGCTTCTTCAGCTGGCTTAGGGCTCCTTTTTCAATTCCATAGTTGGTTATTTTGTTCTTGTTTAAATTAATCCATCTCAGCTGGGTGGCATTCACAAATGATTTCTCAGGGATGGTTTCTATCAGGTTGTTTTCAAGGTAGAGATACCAAATTCTTGAAGGAATAGCAGGAATTTCTTTGAGCCCTCGATTTTCACAGTATAAAGCAGTAGGGAAACTGGGAGGGCAGAAGCATTCCCTGGGACAACTGAAGTCATGCATAGACCAGTCCTCTGGCTCATATACATCATAGACCTGTCTCATGCTTTGGGTCCATGCAGTATCTGTTATGAATAACACCCAGATGAGGAAGGAGATTGTGGTTGCCATTATACTACCTATAGGATAAGAGATACTACTGTTAGATATTGAAAGATCTTGACCTTTTGATAATTGCTTGCAGTAGAATGAGCAGTACACCTTTCTACTTCAGCAGAGAGGTGAAGATATCAGCATTTCATTCACAGATATCAATTAAGACACATTTATTTAGTAGACACCATGTGCTAAACATTTACAAACTCCAGAACTAAGTCAACTTGCAGCTTTCTGGTTTTAACCCAGTCACAATGAAAACTGAGCAATGGAAAATAAATTTTAGCAGCTCTAAGTGCTTTTCCATTTCAAGCTGTTTAATTCAAGGGACTTAGCTGAGACTAGTAGTTGAATACAGGAGTACAAAAAATGACCTTTTGCTAATTCAAGTTGAGAGTCTAGGTTGTTCATCAGAGATAGGCACATGTTTTTGCTTTTACTTCTAAATGAGCAGACCATCTGGAGGAGATGTCCCAGGTTCTTTGGCCCTTGAACCAAAGAAACAAGGGAATCAGGGAATGCTTCAGTAGTTTATTGAGAAGGAAAGTTCTAGGATCTGAAAGACAGTGTATGATTAATCTCTTGTCCCGTTGCTGAACTTCTCAGGTAAGTTGTATTTGGATGAAAGACTTCTATAATGTTAATTACAGAATCAAGCTATTCAGCCTACAAATTGACATTTTTCTTAAATAATGGCTGATATATATATATATATATATATATATATATATATCATACATCCATACATACCTATATGACAAAGAGAGTTTATTACACAGAGGTGAATATATTACTTATGCAATTGTGGTGCATATCTATTTAGCCATACTGATGCTTCATAAGAAGCAAAACAAAACAAAATACAAATTTAGGGTACAGGTAGAAAAATAATTTTACATTAGTATTTCCAGTAGGACAATAATAGAGAGCAAATTAATACTTACTGATATGGGATACATTTAAAAGCCATATCATCATCACACATTATAGTTAGAACTATTTTAAAAGAGAAAATAATCATACACATGATTTATATGTTTTTAAAATATATTTTTATGTTACATAAACACAAAAAATTAACATTTTAATCAATGTACATTAAGTTAAACCAGTTGGCACTAAGGACAGATTAAGTTATTCAGCTTCCTTGGGAGAAAGATATATAGACATATAGGAGATGATGATCTTTCAATTTTGCTAGTAAAGTGCAGAATGACAAATGCACAACTGTTTCTGCAAACTGTCAAATTTCCTACCATTGCAGAATGCTGCTCTGGCCATCATCCAACAGACACTCATTAATTTTCTTTTCTCTCTTTATTTGTTAGAATGAGGATTTGCTTTAGATATTTAAGTTATAGTCCTACATCTGATAAACCAGAACTTTACATTGTAAGCTTTAAGAGTTTTAAGAAATGCAAAATAGTTTACCTTGCCTTCCAGGATTATACTGTTGAGTGCTGTGTCTCTGTCTGCAATTTGCTAAAAATCAGTTCAGAGAAAAAAAAATTGTCTAAAAATTGTTTTTACTTTATGCTGTCAAGCCTTCCAGGAGAAAAAGTCAAACCTGCTCTGAGCAGTCCCCAAGAACACCTTTTGATGTATTGTTTTCACTTTGCCAGGGCTGAAGAAGACAGCTGAGCTCAGCCTTTCTGGGTCTTCTTTCTTTTCTATTGGTCACTGCTTGCTCACAGTAGTAGACTGACCCAGGCACCACTGGCGTGTTTGTGTGGATCCTCTGTAATATATGCCTGCCAGTGGCTCCAACTTTAACCTCTCCAATAAACACAGCAGCTTGGTACCTAGGCAGCCCAGCAAAGGAAAGTCTCACTTTAATTTCCAGAAACTATAAAAGCATTTGGGACAATTTTCACTCCTAATTCACAGTTCCAAAGACGGAGTGATGTACTGATGTATAGACCTGATTCAGCACCAAGCAACTGAAGGCAGTTTTCATTTCCACTGTAACTAAAACAGATTTTTCTCTGGATGATAGTCTTTAAAAAAACAATTAAGTGCAAGGAAATAAAGTCCAATACCCTCAGTTTATATGGACATATTTTATTTGTTTCTAATATGAAACAGATGCTGAGATGTATTTGATTAAGGAAAAAGAGATAGAAATACATATTTGAAAATTTTTAAACTCTTATCTGAAAAACCATACTCAATTTTGGCACTAACCTGGTAATACACTTTGTTTTATACAACTAATTTTTGTATTTCTGTTTACTCCCCTTGTAATAATTTATTTAAGTATTTATTAAAATGAGATGAATTTTACTCATAACATCACACATGTTTTGTATTTAGTGTCTTATAAGACATTCTGTTGCATTGCTTTTTTTCCTTTTCTTTAATTCATCTGAGCAAATATGTCTTCTATTTCTTATATTTAAAAAAAAAGTTATGCCTTTTGAGGAATTATGCAAACAAAATATATATTTTTCCAACAATATTTTGTTGATTGTAATTATTTTGTTTTTCAAAATTATCTTACGTTGAGATCAGGCAGTTCAATTTAAATGTGTCATTCAACAAATCTCACAGAAATACTATCAAAGACAGAGCATAATAAAGAGGAGAAAGCACTGGAGTTAAAGGACCTTTGTCAGAGGTAACTCTTTTTTTCCCCTCTTAACCAGAGGCAGATAAATTAGAGCTTACATTTGTTATCTATAAAATAATAATCCATTACCTCATGGAGTGAGCCCTAGTTGCCATAAATGATTATGGAAATGTTAACTTCTCTTTGCTATTAGCACTATACCCTCAGAAAAATGCATTCATACCCAAGTGCTTTTATAACTAACATCCAATTCACACATAGCTCTTTGTAGCCTAGAGTTGCACTTACAATATTTTGAGAAAGCAATCAGTGTTATTTGCAATTATCTCCTCTCTCCCTTGCATTTTTTTCTTTTCTCACTTTCCCCTAGGATATAAACAACAGATAAGCTTCAGATCTGCACAGTCTCTTCTACTCTCTTTCTCTTAATTTTCTTTTTTAGCCAAATTTATTTCATTCATTTTTAAATTTTATTATAAAAATGTTGCTGCATGTTTATTGTGGAAAAATTAGAGCAGTGTATGTGCTGCCTCCAATCTCCTTCCAATTCACAATTTCACTCAATGATCCACTTGTCAAAATAGGGCTTCTTATTCTATCACTTCCCTAAAATTGCTTTGACAAAAATCAACACTGATCTTTATATGCACTAATCTACTTGAACTATATCCTTAGGTAATACTGACCCACCACATTTATTAAATGTTCCTCTAAGTTTTTCTGATATCATTCTTTTCTAGAGTCCCCTGCCCTTTTCAGGTGACTTCTCTTTGTATCTTGAAACTTTCTCTTTGATCTTTTTAACATTTTATTTTAAAAGAACTATTTTATAGCATTTGGAGCTCTTTGAGAATCTGTCTTCTGTGCTCTTCTTGTCCTCTACATATTTCATGTGTGATTGCATGGCTTGAATAACATCCTTTATTGTGAAGACTTCTGAATCCGTATCTCCAAGAAAACCTCAGAACAGGGTCTGCATCCCAGTGTAAGTCTGTCTATCTGTGCGCTAGACATCTGTTGAGCACTTTGAAGGCACATGAAGAAAATGAGATTCACTACCTCCAATTATGTCTAACTGCTCTTATCAGTTTATTTTTTTGAATGATATTATCACTTTATTCAGTCTCCCAAAGCAGAAATCTGGAAATCATTCTTCACTCTTCCTCTCATTTTGTGCACATATGGTAACAATTACTTTTTAAGGATGCTGAGAGACATAAATAAAAATGACCTTCCATAACATTTACCATCTTTGGGTATCATGGCTTCCAGACTAAAAACATAGAATATTTTCCACTATTAGGATAATCTTATGATTTTCCTACAACAATCAAATCTGCCTTTCTTCGATTATTGATTCCAGGAGGATGAGACTCCAGGCATCTCTTCTCTGGAATTGCTTAAATTGATGTTTGAATCAATATAACAATATTGATATAACAGAATAACAAGCTATAGCAGCTATAACAAGAATTCATAAAAGACTCTAACCAGTCTTATGTGATTACAAAGAGAGAGCAAGGAAACCTAAAGTGTATAATATGGCTTTGGCATGTCTCTAGTGAGAGACTGATATTTTAGAAGTCCATGAGGCTTTATAAATAGTAGTTATTCAAAAAATATTCATTCAATGAATAAATGAATCACTAAATTTTTAAGGCATATGTATCATTTGTCATTTGTGATTTGTAAATGGGAATTCCTATGTAAGTAGGAAAACAGTGGAGTGCCTTCTGTATATGGTTTAAATATGTGTTTTCCTTTTGCAACTTCATAGCTGTTTGACCTTGAATAGGTTATTAAACCCTCATGTCTACAGTAAGCGGGGCAAGTGCATTATGGGTAGACATGTCTTGCCTCATTTACTGCGCAGAGCCATTTGAAGATGAAATGAGATAATAGGGGTGAACATGTTGTACCAGTCTAAAATTTTTCGTAGTGAAAAATGGTAAAGCTTTTTGCTTATGAGGAAAATAATACCAGAATTTTTTTCTAGCCGAGAAGGTAATAGTTGATTTTCCTGTCTACCTGTGAGAAGTCTTTGCAGAAACTTAAGAGAGGGCAAAGGTGTAGTTATTATGGTTATTTTAACCTATTTTCTTCCTTTTAGCATTTTAAAATGTTTTATTTTGACCCATATGGATTCTATGAAAAGGGAAGCTGCTTTGCTAAACTATCTTACACCAGTGATATTAGTTCATTATATTCCCGAAGATCACTGCTCTTTCAAGTGAGAAGGCCATATGTAATGTGATGTAAGCCACAAAACTCTAGTAAGATTCTCGATTTGTTGGCATATGTGTCACATATGGACTAGAAATTCTTGGTTGAAGTACTTGGGTCCTTCCAGGATATTTGGTTGCCCTATTTGATTGAACTTTTGCTAGAAGGGATTATGTTTTTCCTTAACAGAAAAGTTTTGGTTCAACTGAACTGTGTCAAGTGGTTAAACGATGTGAAAGGGATTCACTAAATAGATATAGCTTATACACAGAAACATAGTTTAAAATTTTGTCACAACAATGTATTTCAAATATTCCAATAATACATTTGAAAGGTCAACAATCATCACAAAAAAATGATCAGAAAGCCAATGATTAGCACCCTCACTCAGTTCTGTCAGTATAAGCTGTACTTCCAATAGCCCATTATTTCTAATTCTATAGCAGATTTAGTATTTGATATTCTTGCTTATAGTTTTGACTTACCAATTTTAAATATATTTTTCCTTGTTAGATAAGAATTTAGCATGGTTGCCCAACCCTATTTCTTACCTTGTCTATATCTATAATTTCCAATAAATTTTGATTAAATAAATAATAGAAGATTTTTCTATAGTTCTCATTAGTTATGAAGCAACTTAAATATCTCATAAAGAACCAGATCACTGTGATCTGCCAAATTAGGTTGTGTTGATGAGCAACAGAAAGTAAATTACACTGAGGTAGGAGAATATAACTTTCCAGAGGAAATATCTATCAGGAAGGAAAAATCAGTGAAACTCATATATCTGATACTATTCATAAACAATTTTTATAAAATTTTAAATGTCTTAAAATGTTAGTTGATTTATTCTTACAACAGACCTATGAAGAGACATAATTGTCCAAGGTTTCACTGGTGGTAAATGACATGACATGTGCATATAATATGTATTGGTCATCTTTCCCGTGGCTGACAAACACAAATTAATGGCTGCCATACACAATTTGAAGGAGGAAATGATTTGTTTGGCTCACAGTTTCAGAGGTTTCACTCCATGATTGCCTGACTTCAAGGCAGAAACATGGCAGAGGGTCATTTTAGAGAGAGACTGCTCAACTCTTGGAATCCTCAAATGCTGGAACCAGAGAGCAGGGGAAGAGCTAGAGAGGAACAGGGAAGGAATCCATATAATTCCTGCATCATGCCCTGTGAACCACTTTCTCCAATGAGGCCCTGTCTATTATTACCCATTTAACTAGAAGTTCCTGAATAAATTAGTGACTGCACAACCGATTCACCTCTCCAAGAATCTCTTAATCCAGTCAAATTGATAATCAACATTAACCAGCATAGACTGCATCTTCTTAGTAAATACTGTTCAAATGTTAACTAAACATATCTATGTTGATAAAACTAACTCCCCCTTCCCCCTTCCTCCCCCCTCCCCCTCCCCTTCCCTCCCCCTTCCCTTTCCCCTTTCTCTTCCACTTTTTCCTCTTCCTCCCCTTCCTCCTTCTTCTTCCTCTCTCTCTCGCTCCCCTTCCGCTTCTCAGTATACTAGAAGTAAAAACGTATAAATGTGCCCATGCATTTTATGCTGGGTGTAAATTGACAAATATCTAATACTTATGCCTTTTAGTACATTTTTTATAATCAAAATATTTCATTAATGCTAACATGATTGTTTTCTGTCATTATGAATAAATAGTAGTAACCCATCTACTTTCATTGCATAAGATTTTTATCTGAAGCAACCTGAAGCTAGGCTATTTCTTAAACTGATTTGAAACTACTGGTAAACTGGGTAAGTTCAATGCCATTTTATATTTTGATTCAGCTTTGACATTTATGAGTCTCTTTGTGGCTACTCAGAACTCTGTAGGAAGAGTTTGCTGAATTTAGAAGTGCAAACAAAAATAGACTTATAATTCTTGAGTGAGCT